CACACACACACACACACACACACACACACACACACGGGACGCGCTCATTGCATGGCCGATGCGCTCGCTTTTTGCGCCTTGCCACACCCTCGGTGCTTTCTTTCTTTTCGCGTGGCGCTCGCTTCTCGCGCCCTGCCCCACTGCCGCTTTCCCCGCATGGGACCCCACTCAGCGAGGCGCTTGATTTTTGCGCCCCCCGCGCAGCTTTCCCCATGGGCCCCGTGTCAGTTCGCGCCAGGCGCGGTTCCGGTCCTGTCCCTCAGTGGCCACACCCGGCGGCTGGCCCCTGCCACGGTTTCTCGTGGGCCCGGCGTGTGTTGGTGGGACCTTCGTAACTTTCAAGTGTATAGGGATTTATACCTTTCTTCCCCCCACGTTGACACCCAACTCTCATAATAAGAAATGAGCCCGGATTTATGGTCCTCTGGGAGAGCACATAAACCCAAAAAAAAAAAAAAAGTCTTATCTTTTTTGTATGCCTGGGTAATCCAGGACTCAGACCACCCCGGCCGTCACGCTGGGTGCCCGGCAATCTTCTTAGCTAACATGTGAATAGGAGCCTCCTGGGGGAGCTATGTGACATTAAAAGTTTTGGGGGGTCGTCCTCCTTTCTGGTGCAACCATCACCCCAACGTTTTGTTGCTCCAGTTGACCGCCATATCTAACACCATGCGAAATTTTTCCATCAAAATAACAATAATAATAATAAAAATCTTCTATGTTTTGAGTGTTAGCCTCTACCATTATCACGAGGTCATCTGCAGAGAGAGAACACACTGGGATTGCTTCCTCCAGATTCCGTGTTATCCTTGTCTTCCGGATATGTTTGTTCTTTCTCAAGATTGCTGACAAGGCCTCCATTATTATTATGAAAAGAAAGGGGGCAATGGGGTCGCACTGTCCAACCAATCTTTCCAATCTAATCCCGGGTTCCAGGGTGCCAGGGTGCCATTGATCTGAACCCGGGTGTTGGCATTCTGATGCAAGATCCTCTCACCCGCCTCCGGAAGCGAGGTCCAAAATTCATTTTTGCCAGGCTGTGATCATGTGAAGGTTCTCATACTGGTGCCCACCTTACGAGAATTGGGCTTACTTGAGATGTTGGGGATTCGTCTGCGATATTGGTCCTATATGCCAGACCTTAGAGTAGACGAAGATACATTGCATCACCAGGTGGGTGCAATAACCTGTTGGGGCTATACAGATCCAAGGTCTTGTTTAGTACATTTGCTCAGCTAGATCATCGCTGCGGCATCTTTGAGTGCATGTCACCAGGCCAAAGAAATTTTGTTCTCATTCTCTATTAGCTGTGGGTATTTACTATTTAGAAACAGCATGGGAAAACATCACTGGGTTATGCTGAGCCGACGTTAGATCTTCTATCCATGGATAATAGCCACCCTCACAGGCTCTCGTTAGCGCTTGCTGGACAGCTTGTGGAGCATAGCAGTAAGAAAGACTCTGGTAACGACGAGGAGACGTCAGGGGTGCGACTTCACGTGATTGGTGCTGGTGCTTCAGGTTGGCTTGGAGGAGGAAGAGTATCAAGGGAGTTCACAAGATGCACTGCATGCAGAAGGGGGAGGGAGAGAGAGCGTCCTGAAGAGTTGTAAGTTTCTTTGCAGGCGACGTTGGGAAAACGGAGATGTTTACGGGTGGTCTCAAGATCCTTCACAAGCAAAAGCAGCAGATGTGGAATGTCAATGGGGACTGCAGATGATTTACATGCAGGAGATGAAGGACAGGGAGTGTTGAGGGGAATGCTTTGCTTGCACATGGAGTGCAGAAGGGATGAAGGGAAAACTAGATCGGGGGATTGCAAAATGCTTCGTGCACGAAATGGAAAAGGGTGGGAATATGAAGGGTGGTCATGAGATGCTTTGCACCGTAGAGGGAGGGGAGGGGGAGCGTTCAAGGGGAGTTTCCTCTTGCTTGCAAGATGCTTTGCATGGAGGGAGGGATAAGGAAGTGGCAGGTGGTACTCCAAGAAGAAAGGAGTGTGATGGGGGAGGGTGGAGGGGGAGTGTGGAGAGGAAGTGTGGGGGGCGGATTGGGGTGTGGCGGGGAAGTGAGGGAGGGGGCCATTGTGGAGGGAGAGTGTCAAGTAAGGGGTAAGTCTTCAAGATGATGAGATTATTGAATCCTAAATTTTCGGAACAGATTGACTTGCTATTGCAATCAAAACAAAAACTTAGGGATGAGTGAAGGTAGGAGTGCTGAGGGTGAGCACAGGATGCTCTACGTTTGATGCTGGGGGGGCTAGGGGGTGTCAAAGGTGGAGGGGTTAGGTAATGTCAAGTGGGACTCTGAGAACAGATGAGTGGAGGGGGAGTGTGAAGGGGGACTGCAGAGGGGGTGCGTGGAGGGATGTGATTGTGAGGTGCAGATGTGGGTGTAGAGGGAAAGTTAGGGGTTCAAGTCTGTATGATGAAGCAAGGGAAGAGTGCTATAAGGGGGATCAAAATATGTTTTACATCTGATGCTGGGGGGGACTGGGGAGTGTCAAGGGAGGCTACAAGATGCTTTGTATGCAAGATGGGAAGAAGAGGAATCCTCGAGGGGCTCTGGAAGATCACACAGGAGGGGAGGGAGTGGGGAGTGGGGAGTGTTGGAACTTGCAAGGTGCTAAGATGTTTTACATGTAAGGAAAGGGAAGGGAGAGTCATTATTTAGAGGGAATGGGGAAAGGAGGGGGAGCGTTGACGAAGTCCCAAGATAGGCTGGAGTGCTCAGGGGGTGCAATGATTCTTCCATGGAAGTGGCAAGAAAGTGGGAATATCAGTGGGGATCGCAAGCTGCTTTATGTTGCGGGAGGAGGTGTGTGTATGGCAAGGGGGTCACAAGGGACTTCGCACACATCCGGGATGTGTGTGGGGTGTCAACAGGAGTTGTAAGATGCTTTGTATCCAAGAAAGGGGGTAAGGGGAAGGGGGAAGTTGAGGGGATGGCTAGATGTTTTGCATGGAATGGGGCGCGAAGGGGGGGAGTCAAGGGGGTGCTGCTAAACCCTTTGTGTGCAGAAGGAGAAAGATGGGCAGTGTGAAGGGTTTGCCAAATGCTTTGCTCACAAGCTCACTGGGAATGATGATTGTTCAGACGAGTTTGCAATATGTGTGAGAGGGGGGAATAGTGGAAGGTTGTTTGCAAGTAAGCAGGGGGAGATGGGAGTGCCAAGGGGGTTTATGTGCAAAAGAAGGAAATATGGTGGTGGGGGAATTGCAAGATGATTTGAATGCATGTGTGGAGGGGATGTGTGAAGAGGGGCTGCAAGATGCTAGGCTTGCAGGATTGGAAGGAGGAGAAGTATGGAGGGTGATCTCAAGATGCTATTGCACAGGAGGGGCGAGATGGGTAAGTGTTCGGTGGAATTGCAAGTACTGTCAGGTGCATCACAAGATGCTTAAAATGCAAGAGGGAAGGAGGGGGACTTTTGAGGGGGTGGCAATATGCTTTTGCTTGCATGTGGGGAAGTGAGGTGCGAAGTGTAGGGCAGGTCTGAAGATGTTTTCGAATGCTAGAGGGGGGGGAATTGTCAATGGCGATCGTTTGATGCTTTGTGTGCAAGAGCGAGAGGACCGTGGTGCCGAGTCGGTCAAGGAATGGTTGGCCTGCTTGTGGGTGAGGGGGGAGCAAGTGTAAAGGGTGGTGACCAGATGCTCTGTACACAAGATGGGGAATGGGCAAGCGGTGAGGGTGGTTACACAATGCTGTGAAAACAAGAGGGGAGAGGGGAGAGTGTCAATGAAAGTCGCAAGCTGATGTGGATGTGATGGTGGGGTTGGCGAGAGTTGAGGGGGCTTGCAACATACCTTGCATGCAGTGCAGGAAGAGGGGAGTGTCGATCGGGGTGGCATGGAGGGGAAGTATGGAGGGGGGAATCGAGGTGGGGTGCAAGTTGTTTTCCACGCAACGATGAGAAAAGGGGAGAGAAGGGTTGCCAGATGCTTTGCACACAGGAGGGAGGGGCAGGGAATGGAAATGGCAGTGGGGTACGCTATATGCTTTCTGTGCAAAGACAGGGAAGGTTGCAAGAGTTTCAAGGAGGAATGAAAGATTCTTTTTGCAGGCAACATGGGGGTGACGGGGAGTGTCAGCAGGGTTTCTTGGTGGGGAGCTGTAGAGCGGGGTGAGGGAAGTGGGGAGGGGAAATGAAATGTCAGTGGGGTTCACAAGATGCTTGTGTGGAATGCTTGTGTGGAAAGAGAGTGGAGGTGAGTGTAAGGGTACGACCTGGACAGGTGACATTGGCATGGAGTGTTGAGCAGAGAACACAAGGGTGGGGAGTGTTGAGGATGACCGCACAAGGGTGGGGCGTGTTGAGCACAATCGCACTATGTTGAGAGAGAAGAGTGTGTTTACACTGGCATGTACAGCACAACACACACCCATACGTACACGTGCAAAGGGGATGTGATCATCGTCCGTCTCGCCCCTGCTTTTCAAAGGACAGCGAAAGTGTGAAGTACATGTCTGCCGAAGACCTCCTTTCTTCTGCGAGTGAAGTCGTGACAAGTCATCCACTTTCAACAAATTTCTGAACGATGTTACCACAAGTCTTGTTGATGTCCCAAATTTTGTCCGGTGTTACGAGGGATGGTACAGGCAAGAGAGGTGGAGCTTTATATCACACATAGAAGGCCCAGATATTCCCCTGCTGGAGTTCCAGAAACTGGTGCCGTACCTGGCCTCATCAGATTTGACAGCTCAAGTCTGTAGGTAGTGATGGTTGAAGCGTGCTGGCAAAGCAGTCCTCACAATCACAAACTTTTTGAGGAAGTCTGCGGTGACCACGTCACATACAGAACTACAGAAGCAGCAAACAATAAGTACGGATATTGGCCGGGCGGACAAATTGCAATGGCAATCTGACTCCAATCATCATGAAGAAGCCAAAATCATGCAGTGGGAAGTCCAAACATAGAAGCAGAAGATTGAATTATAAACGGAATTGTAATGCCCCTTCTTGCAAGCTACGGTAAGCTCATTGAGGCACTGACTCCACCAACAATCGTCGTCATTGCAATTGACGTTCTTGCATCCAAGGACCATGACTGCCAGAGTAAAATACTCTCTATATGAGTTCAGTTGAGCCCGAATCTTCTGCGCCCAATCGCCATACCTACACCTTCCTTCCTCTAGAGCTTTTTCAGTTCTCCTCCTCTAGGACAACTTCTCTCCTCCTACCTTCTGGGACTCCATGCCGTCTAGCTCAAGTGCCACTTGCCGCTTGCCTATGATGGTAGTCTGGCACCTGCAGCCACGGCTGGGAGAATGGGCAAGCGACTGCGTCTTCAGCCTCAGAGACCAGTTGCCGGATGGAGAGGCCCAGCAGCTGCTACACTGCACATCTGGGAAATTGATGATACTGCGCTACACCTGCTGTTGTTACATTTGTGCGCTGCCAGATTGGCCGCTACCAGCCGTGCAGCTAAGTGATGCGTGGGACCCAGCATCAGTAGGCCCAGGGATTCTTGCAGCCTCGCAAGGATGTCTCTGTCCATGCAAGTTTTCAGCATGTCCTTGAACTTCGCAGCACTGAATAACCCGAACACAGTATGCTTGAAGATATGATTGAGCAACCCCCGCATTCACACAATCAAAAGCAAGGCAAGCACGCAAAAGAAGAAGTAGAAAACGAAGAAGAAGCAAGGCATGCATAATTACAGGTATGGTAAGAAGAAAAAGAAGCAAGGCATGCATGATTACACGTACGGTATACCTCAGAGCAGCAAGACATATCTGCAGGTGTCCAGGATTTACGTTGTTGTGAATTGCGAGTTCCTGCAATCTCATAAATTTCCCCCACGAGGAGCTGTGCAGGAGCAGTGGAGGAGCTAGTTGGGAACAATTTTTTGGATTAGGTATTGAGAGCAGTCATGCGCGGTGAAATTTTGCTGTGGTATACGCTTGTGACTGCTAGTATGAGTACACACACTGAATCACTGATGGTTTCATGGTGACACGGAACCTGATGACCTGTAGGGTTTACTATCATGCAAGTCAAATGGCTAAGGCTGTCAAAAAAAGAAGAAAGAAGGAAGTGCTGCTGGGGTTAATTGGTGGATCGTGAGAGGTAATTGGTGGATTATAAGGGAGACAAGGTACGGCGGTTGCCAACGAAGGAGATGCAGCAGCATGAGCTTGGGAGAGAATAAACTCGGTACGAGTCGGTAGCAATATCTGCTATGACAGAAGTCAATGAGTGGGCTCTGAGTCAAGGAGATGTGAAACAGGCATGTTCATAAGAGGGGGCAGCTTTTCAAACTTAGCAGGGTGTTGTTAGAAAGCGGTTATTGCACATATCCCTTGATGAGCTGATGCTGATGAGTTTCCATTCCGAGGAAGCAACGAGGATTGGCTATTTGAACAGCCATGGTTTTCTCGTCATGCATGTGAAGACATTCCTGAGAGGCAGTATCTTAAGAGGACACCTGCTCGACAGATGGTGTGGCCGCGGTGAGTCTTTTGAAGTGGCGTCAAGTATAGAACAGTCAGGGTGGATTGCAAGAACACAGATGTGCAACAACACAACGACCAATGCCCTCGGTGATTGTGAAGCATGCTCAGACAGCAAAGATTGGCCAGCCGCAAGTCACATTCCGGTAAACCTGCAGATGTACGATGAACAGATAACAAGAGGGCCACCAGCGCACACTAGTGGCATAGCGCATGAAGTGTCACATACTGTGTTTGTGAATGAGAAGTAGGTGCGGTCTCGCCTGAATTCTCCACAATCAATCAACACTGCTGTGAAGCAGGACGATGCGTGTGTCTTTAACTGCTGAGCTGGAATAAGACCAGCTATTCAACAATGATGATGCCTGCATAAGTGCAGGAAAGGAGAGATCCTGCACTGCATACTCGTATCGAGGCGGTCAGCCAGGGTTGAACCAGACCACATCAACAGGTCTCCTTTGGGTTTGTGGATGACTAATGGGTTCAAAGCAGACGAGGGTACAAAGGAGGGGAAACAGCAGCAAGACCAAGTGGAGTTGTTTTGTAGAAAACAAGCAGGGGTTGAACATGGATTAATCGTTCCTTAAAGACAGAAGCAATCAATGCCACTGTCTCAGGGTCCTCCGACCATAATGGAGGAATCATGGAGTGTGTCATGATTGTAAGGGACGCTGGACCTAGTTTCCGGCTAGAAAGGAATAGCCTTTTGAAAAATACTACAAGAAAACAAATTAGTTAGGACTCTCAGGGATAATAGGGACCCATTATAATTGTGTGGTAAATCCCTTAAGTGAGGAGATATTTAGGAATCCTTTGATTTCGGCTGCTTCTCTAGTTGCTGCTGGATTAGCAGCAGGTTTATCTTCAATTGGACCTGGAGTAGGTCAGGGCACTGCTGCTGGACAAGCCGTAGAAGGCATTGCTAGCCAACCAGAAGCAGAAGGAAAAAATTGAGGTACCTTGGTACTTGGTTGGGCCTTTATATGGAGGCTTTAACTATTTATGGTTTAGTTGTTGCCTTAGCATTATTATTTGCAAACACTTTTTGTTTGAATAAATTGACGTGAAGGCTGAATCTAACAAAAAGAGTTCTTTCTTAACTTCTTGTTTTTTTTGTGCACTAAGTTGAGGACTACCTCTATGTTCCAATATGAATGCTGGTCATTGTCGAGAATCTGAGTGGTTTTGCTCGGACTATGTTGGGTCTATGGGAGATACCATGTACTTAGCTCACTACAAGTCTGCCTCTGTACTTGTCTATCTGGCTTCAACTTTCTGTTTACGACCTGGAAGAAGCGTCAACGCTCCTTTGGAGAATCTTCCTCTTCACTGTCGTCAGTGTATGGTCGAAGAGTTTTCTTTTCAATCTGAGAATTTCTGCAGCCAGTTAGCAGTCAGTAGGATGGTTGTGATGGAGGTGGTGGTGATGAGATGGGAAGGGGTTGGGGATGGACATGTGGGACAGCTGAGGAGAGCAGTGGCTTAATGCCGATGTGTCAGATACCTGTCTTGCAACCGGCGCTCAAGAATCCCCAAAGTGAAGGGAAACAACAATCCAATGCGGCGGAAGAGTGAAATCAACTGACCTGACTAGGAAAACAGGACTCTCGCAATGCACTCATCATCAGCCGTGAGATGGCAAGCCGGCCAATTTACATAGACATAGGTCCCTCTTTGCTTTCAAACAATCATAGGGAGAAACCATGGATGATGAGGGGATGGGGAAGACAAAGAAGGAGAGATGGATAAAGATATAGATGAAGAATAGAGGCACCAGAGCCAAAATCGTAATAAATCTCTTGTGCAGTAAATTTGCGTTCAACGCCTTCAAAGTCCAAACAAAGCGCTGAAGTCTGAACCGTGATGTCTCCGAGAGAGAGAGAGAGAGAGAGAGAGAGAGAGAGAGAGAGAGAGAGAGAGAGAGAGAGAGAGAGAGAGCTCGGTGCTGTTGGAGAAGGAACGGGGTGGATATGGAGAGAAGTCCCTTCCTCTCACTCTCAGTAGTAAGACTTCACTGACGGGTGAAAGGCGCTGGCTTGAGCAGCTGCAGGTCGCAGAATGAAGTCTGACAATGGTCTGCTGACTTCCCTTAGCTATGGCGCTTGGGTGAGTCCTCCTCTGCCCTGTACTCTACTGCCGCAGACGTGCACTCTTACCAGTTCTCTCCTTTCTACACTAGTGCAACGACTGCTAACACACTTAACTCCCAACACTTCTCTCCAGTAGCCTGGTGGCGAATAGAGTGGAACTAACTCATGAGCCCCAGCTATATACTGTTTAGCCAGTCTCCCCTCTACCCACCGTCCTCGTAGGCCATGGAATTTAATTCAATCCAATGGTCCAGGGGGATGGGTGTAGGCCTGGTTGATAGTCCCAGGCCTAATGCTGGCCTGAGTTCCCACCGGGCTCTCAGGCCCACCTGCTGTCCCAGCACCTGTGCCTGGGCTGCCTGAACAAACGAGGGCTGGGCCACGTGCTGGACTAACAAGGTCCATCCCCAGTGTGGTCAAAGTCTCAAATGGCTTCCAATGGCCTAAAGGTGTAAAGCAGGCTTACCACTAGTCCAAACAGAAATTTGTGCCTGTCCAAGCATCAGAAATTGGAAATGACATTATCCAAGATGAGACAAAAACTGGAACAGACATCAGAAATCGGAAACGACACAATTCTTCTACTTCTACCATTCTCTTCGCCATCTACTCTTCCTCCTCCTCCTCCTACTTCTTCTACCATTCTCTTCTCTTCGCCATCTACTCTTCCTCCTCCTCCTCCTCCTTCTTCTCCTTCCTCTTCTCCTTCTTCTCCTCCTCCTCCTCCTCCTCCTCCTCCTCCTCCTTCTTCTTCTTCTTCTTCTTCTTCTTCTTCTTCTTCTTCTTCTTCTTCTTCTTGCTTCTGCTGCTTCTTCCTTCTCCTCCCTCTGCTCATTCTGCTTCTTCTTTTTGCTTCTGCTTCTTCCTTCTCCTCCCTCTTCTTCTTCTTCTTCTCCCTCTTTTTGCTTTTGCTTTTGCTGCTTCTGCTGCTGCTTCTGCTTCTGCTTCTGCTTCTGCTTCTGCTGGTTTTGCTTTTCCCTCTTCCTAGTCCTCCCACTTCATTCCTGCTTCACTGCGCTTTATCCCAGGTTGCCATGTGCAAGCCTTTCAGGGAGGGCTACGCATGTGCAAGCCTTTCAGGGAGGACTACCCCTTTTGCTCAGCCTTTCCTGGGTACCCCTTTTGCTCTCCATTGATAACAGAGGCAGCCTGGTATCAGCCCGTCAAAACCAAGCGTTCGATTCCTTTTCGGAATGGGAGCGAAAAGCCATCTCACTTAAAGGAAAATTGAGGGCGGTACTGACCCTCTTACCAGAAAATTGGGCTGAAAAGGCTTCAAACTGCATGGGGGCAAGAGGTGTTGGGCAGGACGGTCCAGGGTGTCCTGGCGTGAATGTCTTGTAGACATTGGTCAGCATCACTCTTATGGACCCCACCCTTCAGTGAAATGAAAGGTGTGAAGCATCCTAAGGCGGGAAGCTTTTTTTGTTTTTTCAACTTGAGATAGGTTTAAGAAGTAGATGAGGCTTAAGGATATAGGAGGCATCCGGTGGTAGGTGCAAAAAAGAGCGTTGAATAGAAAAGGAGATTGATATGAGGGTGAGTGTAAGAGGCATTCGGTGGTAGGTGCAAAAAAGAGCGTTGAATAGAGAAGGAGATTGATATGCGGGTGATTGTTGCAAGAATAAGACGAGGATTAGACGACCTTTATGGGTGTATAGAGGGAGGGATTGACAGGATGAGAGGCCCATGAGATTGATAGAACAGCCCCCCCGGGCCAGGCCTTCCCTGGGGACCCATCTGTTGCGTGGCTGGGTGCTGCTAGGAAGCTTCCCGACCAATAGAAGTATCCCTTGGGAGGCTATGGTATGGGAAGTGGGTTTGGTTGTAGCAGTCCCCCCCTTGAAAGGCGCCTAGGGCCGCAAGGGTAAGGCTTTCCTCTTCTCTTACAATCAAACTGTACTTTGGTTTTCAGGCTTGCCGTTGATAAGCAACCGGACTGATGCCCCCCAGAATAGAAGGGGATGTTTTGTTTTGGAGAAAACAAAAAAAAAAAAAAAAGATTGGTAGGTTACTCGCTGCGGGCCTAGGCTTAGCAGCCTGATGCTGATCAAGTTGATTTACTATTCTTGACAGCATCCATTAAAATATGCATCTCACATGTGGACGGCGCACGGAGAGTAGGACTATCTAGAAGCGAACTGAAATCTGCTGCCATCGATTGACAAATCACAACGCACAGCTCCGCCTAGAACAGGCACTGAAATCATGTTGTGCAAGGGTTATCAACCTATCATCCCCTTTTCCACTTGTCTGTGGGAAGCAACGAAATACTGTAGCCGGGCGTGATCAGGCCAGCTAATGGAAAACAGCCTATACCAGTCCCACTCAAAGTGAATTGAGCTGAGTGGTGTTTATGGACAGAGTTCGAACTCACGACCTCCATTACAGAAGTTGATAAGTTCAATGTGCACCGCCTCCTTTCAGGGGGAATGGCTTTGCCTGGGTTCGAGTTGGACAAGGAATTCAGGCCATGCATCATGAACTTCTTGGAGGCCTAACGTCTTCACCCGCATAGGATGCCCAGTCATTAGAGCCGTATTTGGTGCAATTTTCAATCCAGATACAGCGATAATCACTGGGCGTCAGGGTTGCATAACTGCCGACTGCCGACCCCGACCCCGACCGCCGACTGTATTACAGCCGACCAGTAGGGCCGACCGGTCGGCGGTCTGCCGAGCAGTCAGAAAACAACCACCCACTGATTCCTTTTCAAATCTGAGTTGGGGGCTGTACTGCGCTTGCTGAGTACAGCCCAAATCCGCTGAGAAACTTTTGGGGATTGGAGGGGGTATGGGGGGGTTGGAGGGGGGTAGA